GTTTTTCTGTTTCCACTCAAAATAGGCATTTTCAAAATGATATAATAAATGATCTGTGGAGTATTTTGAGCTGGAAGTTCACAGACACATTCTGGGGACACCAGAGACTTATTGTAAAAAGGGGCATAATATGTCTCCTTTAAGTAAGACTTTGGGGTCAGTAACTTTTTTTTTTTTTATGACCCCAACTTTTTTATTTTTTATTAATAGATCGAAAGTGACAGTAAAGACATTTGAACAATGTACAGAAGCTTTCTATTTCAAATAAATGCCGTAGAACTTTCAATTAGTCAAAAAAGTCCTGGGGAAAAAAAATCACTGCTTCCACAAAAAAATATTAAGCAGCACAAATGTTTTCATCATTGATCATGAGAAATATTTATTGTGCAGCAAATCAGCGTATTAGATTGATTTCTGAAGGATCTTGTGACACGGAAGATGAGTTATGGCTGATAAAAATTCAGCTTTGCCATCACAGGAATATTGCATTTTAAAATGCATTCCAATGATATATTGCAATAATATTTCACAGTATTAATGTTACTGTATATTTGAATAAATGCTGCCTTCTTGAGCACAAGAGACTTCTTTCAAACACATTAGAAATCTTTCTCACCCTAAACTAAATAATAATAATAAACTGCAATATGCGTTACTTTTAGTGATTTCATTATATATTATCATATGCCTATATATAAATTAGTATGCATTAATTGAATCAACCAATATATTCTGCTTGGCTGTGATTCTATTCTATTATAAAGCATTTTTACCTTGAAACAAACACATGCAAATACTCGTTATTGGAAACATGTTCCATCATCCTTGGTGAACACAGTATTAGTAATCTCTAACTTAGTGTGTGTAGTCACTGAGCTCTTTCTTTTGACTAGTGGGAGCCTCACAATCACAAATCCGCTGTGGAAAGCTGCATGGTGATCTCATAGAAGCCCAGAGAGAACTCTTGGGTTTGGGAGGAATAAATTGTGCCATTGAGCTCTCCCTCACGCTCATCTCTTTCCCTTTCGCACTTCTGATGTCCTGTTGCGCAGTACCCACAAGCTTTCTGATTATCCTCTGTATGGTTGGTTCGTGAGAAGCCTCAAGTTTGCTGCAGCGCTCACTTGACAAAAGAGGAAGCAGGTGTTGCAGTAGATGGAGGTCTCCACTCGTGTCGACCTCTCCAAGCGCAGTTGCTCCTCTGGCATTAGTCTGCATTTGTTTGTCTATTACTCTGTTAGTGCCACATGAGATCCTTTTAGGAGGAACAGCTTTTTATGTGACTCACAGCAAGTAAACACAGCTTGCTTATGAATTTGCTACAGGTGGTTAGTTTAAATTGTTTCTCAAAAAGGGGTAAAGGCAGAAATATTCAACACCATTCAGATGTTTGGGGTTGGCAAGACTTTTTATAATGTTTTTGAAAGAAGTATCTAATGCTCACCAAGGCTGCATGTATTTGATCCAAAATATAATAAAACAGTAATCCGGTGAAATATTACCGTTTAAGTGAACCGTTTTCTATTTTAACATATGCGACCCTGGACCACAAAACTTGAAACTGAGATTTATACATCATCTGAAATCTAATAAATATGCTTTCCATTGATGTATGGTTTGTTAGGATAGGACAATATTTGGCCGAGATTAAAATGTAATTTATTTCAGCAGCCATTACTCCAGTCTTCAGTGTCACATAATCCTTTACTTCACATAATCTTACTTGACCCCAAATGTTTGAGCAGTGGTGTACTGTACATTTATAGAATTAATTTTATATATGCCTGGTGCAAGTAATGTTGTGCTTTCAGATTAGAAATGAATGTAAGAATCTTTTCTTCAGCTAATAATTGGAAGTGTTAGTCATAAAGTGTAAGCTTGTTTTGATCTTCTTCATGGCATTGTTTGTAATTTTGTGCTCTTGTATTTATTTTGTATTAGTGTGTTGGCAGGCTTTCAGCATTACTAGCGTTTATTTTCTCTCACCTTCTTTTTCTCCATTTTGTAATGTCTTAATTTTCTTAGCATGCCCTCAAATCTTCACTTAACAATTTTATGAAATTTAAATTGATACTTGCCAGTGTGTCTAATCTCTCTCTCTCTGTTTCTTTCCTCAGCTGTTGATAAAGTGCAGAGCGCCGGAGGTGTCTCAGTTTGTGTTCCAGTGCTATGAGTTAGTGCTGAAGAACTGAAGTGGCGGGAAACCAACAGGAAACTGCAGTTCCCAGGCATCGTTTGGGTGACTGAAACTTGATTGGACCAGTCAGAGAAAGAACCCCTGCTGTCTTTAAAATATTACAGTTACAGTAAAATACCACACACAAAATATAAAGATATCATCTTTAATTCACATATGTGCAGGTGTTCTACTCAGCAAATTTCATTCCTGTACTACGTGATTGCTTCACTGTTTATCCTGGGTGATTGTTTTTCCCCCTCATGGAGGTCAAGCATCATACACAGATTATCTCAGAGTTTTAGACCAGCCTGTATTCCTCATCCATCCAGTTGTAGGAAGGGTGTGTTTACCACAGTTGAAAACCTTTCAACACTGCTGTTTTTAATTTAGTCTTAATAATCAGACAATGGGTCGCTGGGTTTGTATTCACACAAACAGTTCAAATCTTTATTTATTTTTTGTTCTGTTTTATTAAAGCTCTCCCTAATCATTCCTCAGTAATTTAGGTCTCCCGCAATATCTTTTAAGGGAATGCTGTGTGTTTATCCAGAAGCACTACACAATTGCGGAGTAAACTTTTTCTTTGTCTTCAAAATATCTCTGTATTTGGTGATGACTAAGTTTGCAGTCATGTTTTGATATTAAGCTGGGTTTATTTTTAGTTACTACTGTCTTTTGTGTGCTGTGTATCAGTTGTGTGTGTGTGTGTGTGTGCGAGTTGGAGAGTCTGTTCCTCCTCCTGGCAATATTCCCTGTCCTCCCTTATTCCCCTGAATGACTATGTACATGCCCATATATTTGGGTGGGTTGTTAATTTAGTGTGTGTGTGTGTTAAAATGTTGGATCTGTGAGGGAGACTTGACTCCTAATAAGATCATCCTGCAGAAAGTGATATTCTTTATGGTATGAATATGTCTTAAATCACACTGAATGCGATGCACATGAAGTCTCCTGCTTTGCAAAACAACTTCACTGAACATGTTTCTTCTCTCATTCTTTACAGGACAGGGAAATGTAGTTAATCTTACATGTCCATGTGATGTTTAATTCTTTTAAACGATGTTGACAAGGTGGACAGACCTCTCTCAAGCTTAATGTAAAATACCACCAGGCAAAACACTGCTGACCTGGCACACACACAATGTTGTGTGTACACTTAAAAGTTCCCCAATAATATTGATTATTGTTTTTCTTTTAATCATAGTTTGTTGATTCTGTATGTGTTATATTCTGTGGGTTTAGTCGTAGGGGTGACTACAAGGAGATGTGCAGCAAAGAAATTTGCTTTACTTTTTGTTGGATTCTGTCATGAATGCATCTGTTATAGAAATTAAAAAAGTATATTACCCATTGATTTAAAGTGTAATAATTCCGGCCTGGATAATAAAAATAAATAAAACTAAAATAAAAAGCATTCAAACTGAACCTAAACCCTTGGCTTACATAACATGGACTGTCCAAAAAGTGCTTCAGAAATGTGTAATCCCTCAGCAAAATGTATGCAAGTCATTATATTTTAATACTTCATGACTATAAGTGACCACTCTTGTCTGCTTCAGTTACAGTCCTAACACCTTGTATATTGTTTTATTCATTCATACTGTTAGGCAATATGACTCAAACAGGCACCATGCTGCAAACTAACTAATTTAAACTTCCAAATATCACCTTATAGTAAATGTGAAATCCTGGCGGGCACAAGTTGAACCTGTATCTCATCTAATGACATTTTCTTGAGTGAAACTAATATGCCGTCTTACCTAAACTGGGGTTGCAAAGATTTCAAGAAATGCCATTTATTATGGTTTGCAGGCATGCATCATCCAGTCCTTCACTAAAACATTTGGTAAAGTCTGCAATTACTCATAATTGGTTGTGTAGAGTAGTTCTGTAGAGTTTTAGCAATATTTTTGTTTGGTAGGTTTTTTTTGCATGTTCTGTTTGGAAGCTATGATGGACATGTTCATATCCCCTTTTTATTCAGTACAGTATGAATCCTTGCTGAGCTCAAGTTTAAGTGCAATTTCCTCTTTGTTGTGTTGACTGTCCTGTGGTGATGAAATTACAGTGTAATGTAGAGTATTAAAGGAGCTAGGGGCCGCAATTGTGTATCCGACCATATAATTCAGTGGAAGTGCAATCATATGCCAAGCCAGAAGCTCAATTTTGAAGCTGATGGCAAGAAATCTAAGCAAGGAAGACGGGAGGCTTGCGTTGTAATCTATTGCTCATACTAATGAACTTGGCCTGGCAATTGAAAGCTACATATAGATGTTCTAGCATTCATGATTGATGTTTAATGGCCATTACTGTAGAGTTATGCACATACTGACAATCTGACATATGTCTCCCGACTATTTGTCAGGTTTAAGAATGGAGATAGAGGGAGAAAATGTATCATTTTAGATGTGGACTGCAGAGAGGACAAAAACCCAGAGCAATTAATCTTTCTTGTAAATCAAATTGGACAAATTGGATGAATGTATTTCAGGTTAGTAATCCAGATATCATTAGATAAGATCAGTCCATGCTGTTTTGCCCAGCACTTCTATTATCCAAATGAGACTGGAGAAATTAAAAGCTCTGGACTAGAGACACTCTAACTATTCCTGCAGATGACCATTAAATCTGAAAAGCTGAAGTTAGTAACAACCTTACCTGTTTTGTGTCTAGGTCCATGCATGCTTCTAGTGAACGTTAGTGGATTTGTAAGATTTTGAGAAGCGGTTTTTGAGACTCTTGAGGATGGATGGAGCGGGTTTCTCTGGCTAGTGAGCGAGGAGCGGCAATTGAAAAACCCGGAATGGAATTAAAGCGTATGTGATGGGAATGGGAATAGTGATAATGGAATGGGAAATCTCTTTAGCTCCGCACCACTCAAATAAGCGATTCCAGACCTTTCCAGGCTTTCCTTTTTTTTTTTCTTCTGGCGGATAAGAAATATACGAATTAACTTGACTATGGTAACTAAAATTTCTTCTTTGAAACTTTATTTACTCGATATCTTGTACTTTAATTTTATGCAACAGTACATCAGTGTCGTACTAAATATCAATACTTTCGTTTGTTTATGAAGCAGTAATCATCATTGCTGTTTGAGCTAGACAGTCGACGACAGCTACCTTATATTTTCACCCTGTATTCCTCTAATAATGTAAGTAATTTCTGAGGGACCTTTTTGAGCTGTTTATGGCCAGTAAACCGCGCAAGCCTAATAAAACCGTCATGAATCCGCGTCAAGCTGAACCACATGAGTGCGCGCGGAGGAGCAGCGCTTAGAACCGCACAGCAAGGACTGGAGACTGCTTCACGTGTAGCTTCAACGACAACGAGAGGTCTGTGCGGATACAGTCCACCTACAATCTTACGGAGTAACGATGGACCTTTGCGCAGACTGCATTTGGCGTTCGGTGAGGTGCACGGTGAAGCGCTGCTGAGATGATGAGGGAAGCTGTGAGAGGTTACGAGGAGAAAGGGTCAACGGTAACCTCGAGATCGAAGCGCACACGTTATGCTGAGAGCTGCCAAATGGATGCTGTTGGAAAATGACGGGTTTTGAGCTCCAGAGCTGTGTGTGTAGGAATACCGTGGGCTGACTGTGGAGCGTTGAGGACTGTTCCCCAATGGAATGCAGAAAAGACAGCGCAACTGCCGCAGTGAATGAAGTTGGTTGGTTTGTTGATCCACTCATTAACGCGTGATACTAACAGTATACTTAACCAAAAGAGATAGCGAAATGCATCAGAAGCATCAATGCATCTTATTTATTTGAACATCCGCGAAGTGCGTTCTCATCGGCGGGGGCGATTTAAGCACAAAAAGGCGCACGCTCACAATTCACCTTATTGTTTTGATTTGTTGAGCAGTTTTCCAAGCGTCTTCTTGATCGCTAGTGTTCGTCAGCAGTCCTGATCGGCGCGGGATGGTGGAGACGCTGAGCATCGCCGTCATCGGAGCGCCTGGAGTCGGGAAAACTTCTATCATCCGTCAGTTTATTTACAGTGACTTCTCCGAGACGTACACCCCCACCCAAACGCGATACGTGTACAGACCCTCGGTCATTCTTAACGGTGTTATGTACGACCTGAAGATTTTGGATGTCCCGCCAATTTCCTCCTTTCCTTCAAGCCCAAGTCAGGTAACCTAGGCTACAGTAAAGCGCTCATGCATGTAGTTTGTGTGATAACGCATCAGAATACAACACATGATGACATAAAAACAATGCAGTAAACGTTCAATTAAAGCCCATAAAATGTAGGATAAATACCCTAATGTATATAAGAGATAATAAAGAAATAGCCTAAGTGAAATATTTTGCTGTAAAAGTAGGCTACATATTGTTGAATAAGTTACATGGTAATTTTAAACATTTTCATACCCAAAACAAATACATATTTACAGTATTTAGGCTACTATAATACATTTTTCAATGACTATTGTCTCGTTCTTTCTTTCGGGATCAAAATCAGTATAAATGTGGGAAATGTAGGCTACTGTACGTTTTAAGGCACAGTGAACATTTTTTAGTAATAATATTATTTAATTATTGAAAATGTCTTGTCAAAAATAAGGCACTTTATAACGTTAGTGATTACTGTAATGTGGTAACGCGTTATAAAGGTTCAGGAGCCTGTTGTTTTAATCATCGATTTGACCTTGCACATCCTAACTGTCATTATTCAAATCCACACTTTTCCAATCCTGGTAAAAATAGAGTGTCCTTTTGTTCTTGTGAACTTTCATCAGTACAGCTGAACTGAATCTTCAACAGATCCATTAATAGACCGAGATTCCTGAGGAATGATAGTGTATTGCTTTAGGAGAGAGGGGCTTTCCTCTAGGAAAAAAGATCTCATTTGGAGTAGTTGCTATGGCGACATGGCTTGAACTGAGCATCTGTAAAGCTTGTTTTCTGTATCCTCCCTCTGGCAAATATTTCTTTCTCTCCCCCACCTCTCACTCGCTTCTGTGTATCTCCCCCTCATCTCTCTCTCTCTGTCTCACACACACTATTACTCTTCCTCTTATTTTGTCTAACAGTCTTGGCATTTAAAGCACCCCTCCAGTTATTCTAGTGGGAAGCTCCTCAAATGTCCAATGTTTTGGAATGATCCAAGACCCCAAAACAAGGTTTGTTAAAGGGGTCTTAGGATGCTACATGCACTTTTGCAAGTGGTTTGAACTGAAATGTGTGTTGGCAGTGTGTGTACACAACCACCCTATAATGATAAAAATCCACCCAGTGTTTTTTTTTTAATCTGGTTAAATGTTTTCCCCTTTCTCAAATCGAGCCGATCTCAGATGCCTGTCTGTGTGACGTCACACAGACAGGCCCCTCCCACGATAGTTTGATTGACAG